CCAAAGGGGGTTTCTTTCCCCTTCTTTGAGGGCCTGATGATCAGCTCTGGATGTGGTAGGTAAGGTGTGGGCATCAGTGGCATTTTTCCTAATTCATCTAACTGATGTTGGGAGGGCTTTCATATATAAAATGTGTGTGTGTGTGTATGGGTGTGTACTTAGGCATTTTAAAGTGTGTATATGCATAAACATATAAACAACATACATGCACATACACACATTATATTTAGCTGTTTGACTAGGTAAGAGTTACTCTTCACCATTAATTGGCCAGTTCATACAGCACTTTGTGGAGAACAAATGAGCAGGCTCAACCAAATTTGAAATGTGCATAACACTTGCCAAGCAATTTCACCTGAAAATCTATTCTACAGAAATCTTTGCACATTCTTTTTTAATTTTTTAATGTCTATTTATTTTTGAGAGAGAGAACATGAACAAGGGAGGAGCAGAGAGAAGAGAGAGACAAAGCAGGCTCCAGGCTCTAGCTGTCATCACAGAGCCCGATGTGGGGCCCAAACCCGCAAACCATGAGATCATGCCCTGAGATGAAGTCGGATGCTTAACCAACTGAGCCACCCAGGTGCCCCTATCTTTGCACATTCTTAGACATGTAACCATTCCAAACTTCTTATAATACCAAAAATTTGAAAGCAACTTAAATGTTCATCAGTAAATAGTGAACATTCCTTCCATCAAATACTGTGTGATTAGAAAAGTAAAAGTATAGGTCTTAATGTAGAAAGATAGCTTTAAGATGTTGATAAAAACAAAATGCAATTTACTGAGTAATATGTATAGCATGATTTTTTAAAAGTTTATTGTCTTTTAAGAGAGAGAGCACACGAGGGGGAGGGACTGAGAGGGGAGGGCAGAGAGGGAGAGAGAGAATCCCAAGCAGGCTCCACATTGCCAGCACAGAGCCCAATGTGGAGGTCAGTCTGAAAAACCTTGAGATCATGACCTGAGCCTAAATCAAGATTTGGACACTTAACCCATTGAGCCACCCAGGTGCCCCTTGTATAGCATGATTTTATTTATGATAAAACAATTAACAACCCTTTATGTGTGCACAAAATATTCTGAAAGGAATTTTAAACTGTTGTTTGAGAAGAGAGGAAATAAGGAGTTTTGAAGGGTAATCTTTTCTCTATACCTTAAAATTTTAAGATTGTGTATGGGTATTACTTGTTTAAACAGGAGGAAAAAAGTCATTAGCAAGGTATTTTTTCAATAGTTGTGACCTCTTAATGAAGTAGTGCATGCTCAAAATAGAACATCATGAATAAGGAAAATTACATGCAGAACATATTGGTAGAATGAAAAGATTACTATCTAAGTTTGCAGCTTCACAAGATATATTCGAGCCCTGAAGGGCTATCTTTTTTAAATAGTTGAGAATATGCTATTTATTTGCTTGTCAGTGTGTGAGATGTCTACCCACCTATACTCTATGAGTGATTGATTATGTAGACGTCTATAGTGGGCTCAGGTGGCTTCCCAAAAGATAGATCTAAGTTCTTTCCCTTAAAACCTGTGAATGTGATCTTATTTGGAAATAGTCTTTGCAGATGTAACTAAGTTGAGGATCTTGACATGAGGTCATTCTGGAATATGTAAGTGGCCCCTAAATCTACTGACAAGTGTCCTTATAAGAGTTAGGCAGAAACAGATTTGAGACTGAAGAGGAAGAGACACAGAGGAGAGAAGCCCATGTGAAGATAGAGACAGAGACTGCAGTAATGCATCCATAAACCAAATAAGATGGGAAGTCACTAGAGCTGAAAAAGGCAAGGAATGATTGTCCCCTGAAGCCTTCAGAGGGAGTATGCCCCCACAGATGAATTGATTTTAGTTTTGCTCTCCACAGCTGTGAAGAATAAATTTGTTGTGTGAACTACCAGGTTTGTGGCAATTTGTTACAGGGGCCACAGGAAACTAATATACCATACATGTAAATAAAAATATGATAGGTTTAGGGGCGCCTGGGTGGCGCAGTCGGTTAAGCGTCCGACTTCAGCCAGGTCACGATCTCACGGTCTGTGAGTTCGACCCCGCGTCGGGCTCTGGGCTGATGGCTCAGAGCCTGGAGCCTGTTTCCGATTCTGTGTCTCCCTCTCTCTCTGACCCTCCCCCGTTCATGCTCTGTCTCTCTCTGTCCCAAAAATAAATAAACGTTGAAAAAAAATTAAAAAAAAAAATGATAGGTTTAACATGCAGGAGAGATTAGAGCATTTTAAAGGTTAGATTATTTCAAAAATTTTTAGAGTTTTTTTCCTTTCCTCTTTTCTAAAATTTAAGTCCTTAGACTATTGACTGGAGGAATGAACATTATTCCATGTGTTTCCCCAGGATCACTGAACATAGCAATCAATTATTGTAGGGATCATCTGGTCCATTGGCCATACACAGAAGAGCCCATAGGTGTCAGGAATGAGTCATGAATATTGGATTAGGTTAGGGGAGAAGTGCCTGGTGAATGGTAGAAAACTGAAGTGTCTAGTCTACCCAAAGGCACTGCAAATCAAACAATTAAAACCCTGTGAAGGCAAGAGACCTATTGCTCTGTCTGGCTACCTGTGTGCCCAGGGGGGATCTAATACCAAAATGGAGAAGAGAAAAATGGAAACTGGAAGACAGTTGACTGTCTCTGCCCAATACTGAACCAGCTGTTGAATTAGTATCATAATCACTGGTTCCTCTCTCCTAATCTAGTGTTGTTCTGCCTCTGATTTGCTCTTTATCTCTGCTAAACAGAATGGAAAGAAACGAAGAGATATTGACCAGCATGTAGTGGGCACCATGCCAGGTTCTTTCAGATCAGTAATCTCATTTAATTTGCACAACAGCCCTGTGAGGTTGGTAGGTTTCCTCAGTGTTGGGTAACTTGCCTAAGGTCACTCAACTAGTGATGCAGGTCTCTGTGGCTGTGAAAATTCATGCTGTTTCCAACATAAAATACTGCTCCCAAAGTAGTGCTCAAGAAGCCATGAGACTTGGGGGAATTGTGAATATGTTGTTTTTCCAAAGACAGGTCATGGTTATTTTTAATAGTCTTATTAATTTTTAATGTAATGTAATTGAAAAAAAAATAGCATTTCTGCAGTGAAACAATCAGCTTCACTATTTTTTTCTGTTACATATCCTGTAGGGTTTCCTGTTATCTGTTGGGTTTTATAAGAGTTTCCTTTCCTTTAATAAATTCAGGACAACAGCCCTATTGCTTTTTCCCCTAATTATTCTGTAATTGCCAAAATTATCAAATTACTTTGAAATGTGATCTGATTTCCTCTGTACTTGCTAACTGAAGCAATGCTGTATATCTGACTTTATTTAAAAAGTTGTACCTTTAACAATTCCATCTAAGTGATTTTACACATGCTTTAAGAACTAAGTTGGGCTATGCTAGAAAAGAGTCATTTTTTTTTTTTTCATTGACACATGGGGAAAATGCACTTTTAGAAAATAAATTTTGGGAGGAGACTTCTGCCTGTAGTCATCCTACCAAATGACATGGGAATTTTCTAGTTATTTTCCTTATTTAGTTAACCAATAAATATTTATTCATGGCCTATTATGTACTCAGTTTGCTGCTTATGGATTATCTTAGGTGTTTGAGAAGAAATATAAAATATGAGTCTTGCAACTTAGCTATAGAAAGCTTGCAACTTAGCTATAGAAATAGGACTAACACATGGAGAATAAGAGAGAGGGGTGCCTAATAAAGCATTAAGGACTCCAATATCAAATAGCCCAGTATGAACTAAAGTAGTTAGAAAAGATTGCATTGAGATTTTAGAATTTGAGGTATACCTACAAAAATTGGGAGGATGGAAATTTAAGAATAGAATTTCTTAACTCTTAAGAAATAGAATAGAAAAGGTAAATGTGGAATTTGTGTATCTGGGGGACAGTGAATGAATTAACCTTACCAAAGAGAAATAAAGGGAGTAAGAAATTAGGTATAGTAGCCAAATAGGAAGACAATATATGCTTTAAAAACCAGTCTAAGGAGTTTTGATTTAAAGGCAATTGATTATAATGAATTCTCTTGTGCTGGAAGATGAAAAGATAAGAGGGATTTCTCAAGATTTAGTATCAAAACACATGACAGTTGGTTTAGAGGAGAAGCAGGGTCAATATTTAGGGTCAAGTAAGTATAGAATCTAAAATATTGCTATTTTAATAAGATTATGGTATAGGGAGGGACTAGACTACGGTAGTGGTAGTTGCAATGGATAGAAAAAGGCAAATTATTCCTAGAGGCATTAAAGGAAGAAATAATGAGCCTTCTTTAGGAATTAGGGAATGAAGATGTCTGTAGGCAGCTAGAAAGGACATAGTATGATTGAGTAGGAAAGGAAATGCAGATTCATTAGTGGCCAAATAATAGATGACATAGCTGAAGTAGTGAATGAATATCAGCCCAATTGTACTACGGCTAGAAAACCAGAAGGATGAGCTTAAAGAACATTCCACAGTTAGGGACTTAGTGAGGAAAAAGAGAGGAGAAATGGCATTAGAAGGATGGGAGAAACTCTTAAATATGCCAAAGAATGAGAGAACTTCATGAGTGGATAGTTGGTAACACTAACATTGTAAGATGTTGAAAATGTCTAAGGAATAGGTCAAGACCATCAATTTAGCAGGAAGAGATGATGGATAGTCTTCAAGGAAATCATTTTTATGGAGTTGCATGCACTGAAATAGGTGGTAAAGGGAATAAGAAGAAGACAGGAAAAGTGTAGATTGAACATTGGAATAGTCTGGGAGCAAAACCAGAGAGGGGCATTGCATTGGTTAATGAGTAGAATAGATAGTAATAAAAGAAGGATGCTATGATAGCTGGTATCCAAGATGGCACCCAGATACTTCCCCTCCTGCCATTCATGCCCACGTGTAGTTCCCTGTTAATGGAATAGGGCCAACCTGTGTAACCAATAATATATTGAAAAAATAATGGTGTGTAACTTCTGAGGCTCTGGCATGTTTTCTCATAGGTTGCTCATGCTTGAAGAAACCAGCCCTCATGTTATGGTGGTACTCGGGCAACTCAAGAAGAGGAACTGAAGCTTCCTTCCAACAGCACCAGGTTAGTGAACTATCTCAGAAACTGACCCTCCCACTCCAATTAAACCTTCACATACCTGCTGACATCCTAACTACGACCTTATCAGAGACCCTAACTCAAAACCACCCAGGTAAGCCATACCTGAATTTCTGACCCATGGAAACTGTAAGGCAATAAATGTTCATTTTAAACTAAGTTTTAGAGTACAGTGGACTCTAGAACAACATGAGAGTTAGGGATGCCAGTCCCTAAGGAAGTAAAAAAAATAAAATAACATATGACTCTCTCAAACCTTAACTACTAATAGCCTACTGTTGACCAGAAGCCTTACTGATAGCATAAAAAGTTGAGTAACATATATTTGCATGTGATCTGTATATAGACTGTATTCTTACAATAAAGTAATCTAGAGGAAAGAAAAGGGTAAGAAAACCATAAGAATACATTTACAGTTCCCTACTGTATTAATTGAAAAAAAAAATATGTGTAAGTGAATCCATGAAGTATAAACCCATGTCGTTGAAGGGTCAACTACAATTCTTCATGTGGTATTAGGTAATTAACAGAGTTCTTTAGATATTTTCTTTTGTACGTGTTTAGCTCTTTTTTTTTCTTTTTGACTGGTAGATATTTGAAATATGTTTTAAGGTCCTTATGGATATTGGAATGATTCAAGATGATGATATGAATAGGACAATTGTAGGAATATGCTCTGAGTATCTGGAAAAATCAGGGGGCTGAAATAAAGCTGAGGAATTGATTTTCAAAAAGAAGTCACGTATTTTCTGAAAGTAATGTGAAGTTCAAAATAGATATAGACTCTATTCCATCCTGAGATGAAGATAGGAGTACTTGGAATAATTCACTTCAGATTAGCTCAATTAACTAAATCCTCTATGTGTGCATAATACTATATTTTTATTTATATTTATATTTTTACCTAGTTAGGCTAGTAGATGCTCTTTTTATCCACAAGAAGACGTATTCTGTGATGGTATACTTTGTAAGATAAATAGTGAAAATGTTAGCTTCATTCCTCACAATGGTCAGGAATCTGCTAAGTGATTCATTAAAACAAGTAGTTTTATTTATGGCTATCTCTGTATTTTTTCTGTAGGGTTTACTTGTTACTATTTTTTTTAACCCACCTATACTTACCATGGTATCAGGGAGCTATGTGCATGAACTCTGTAGGGCCTCTCTGCTATCCAAAGGTCAAATGGACATGTGGTGGTGTTTTAAAAGGTGTGCTTGGCTGTTAGTCTAATAAAAGGGGTTGAAATGCACTAGAGATGAGGTTACATAGATTGGTTTTGTGGCCCTGTAAAGATTCTCAGGTTCTGTTGTAAGCTCATAGATATGTATCTTCAGGGAGGGTGTATTTACTTTATTGCATTCATCAATATCCTTTGAACATAATCCACATGTAGGGCATTGTGTGAATATCTCTGAAGGCTAAAAAGATCAATCAGAAAAGAGTCTGGCCTGAAGTGGCTTCTAGTCAAATAGCATTGCTACAGGCAAAGGTGGTGTGGGTGTCAGAGGAAGGGGTAGAGGAACAAGAGTGCATATGTGTCCTGAATGTCTCACAGGGTTACTGCCTATGTGATTGCCAGTACCAGTTCTTAGCAGAATGCTCTTTGGGAGGACTGGACAAGTAAGCAAGTGTGTCAGCCCTGGAACATGTATTCACCAGTAGCACGTTAGCAATATGGCATATTAGGCCTGGTGACCACGATGACCTTAACATTTCCCTCTGCTTGACTAGACTTTAGGCAGATTTCTTCTTTATCTTAGGCTTCTGATCTCCATTTTCGTAGAGGATTTACTTTAGAAAACTTGGAATTGTACACTCTTTCTCTGCCTCTTGAAATGTATGTAAGTCTTCTCCCAGCCTCTTGACAGTTTCACAACCCAGGAAAATATTTTCTTAAGGATTTGGTAACAATCTCTTTGAAATGTTAACCACAAAAATATCCCTATCTCTTAGTCTCTGCAGGATGGTAAGAGCCTAACTGATGGGCACCAACTAGCAAATGTAGATGGCCTAATCATAGAAACGTTTGGGGACTCAACCCAATGTTATCCACACATTCCATTGATGAACCTCCTCCCTAGTGTCCCCCAGTACCTTTCTCTAGATCACCCTATCACTTAAAAATCCTCCAGCCTTTTGTTTCAGTATAGCTGTGTCTTTATCCCCTATTGGAATAACCTGACTAATGTCATCTTTGCTGGCTCAACTTTGGTGCAGATTTTACTTTGGCACTGGAAAATCCTGATGTCATCTGGCCTTGCACACCAGTGTCAGCAAAGACAGAGTTTAGATGGAATCTTTTAAATCTACCTCTTTGATGTCAAGAGAAATTCAAATAAAATGCTGAGATAAATACGTAGATGTAAACTTGGATAAAAATTTACAGGGGTCTGGACATTGAATGCTGGACATTATTTCAAAATGATAGAGTGATAATTTGGTTGAAAAAAGAAAACACAGAAAGGTATACAGTGAAGAATGAATGTGTCCCCTACTTGTTGTTCCTAGTTTCACTTCTCAGGTAAAGTCACTTCTAACTGTTGGTTATTATAATGCTAATAATAAACTTGATTCAATGTTATTAATTCATCAGCTCTTGATATCATTTGTTAACTATTTCCTATAAAAAGTAGGACAATTAATGCATATGACTGCCTTCCTTTTTCCTCCCCAACAGACTCTGCTTTTGATTTTATTACATGTATTGTTGTATAAGAAGCTCTTCTTGGGGCACCTGTGTGGCTCACTCGGTTAAGCTTTGGCTCAGGTCATGATCTCATGGTTGGTGGGTTTAAGCCTGTGTCAGGCTCTGTGCTGACAGCTCAGAGCCTGGAACCTGTTTAAGATTTTGTGTCGCTCTGTCTCTCTCTGCCCCTCCCCCACTCATGTTCCTCTCTCTGTCTCTTTCAAAAATAAATCTTTAAAAAAACTAAAGAAACTCTTCTTACAGCTTTTCTATTTAGAATGCTTTTTAGACCTTTATTTCTTGATGTGACAAGATTAATGGTTCTCCAACTTAAGCATGCAACAAAATGACTTGAAAGTTTTGTTAAAACATAGTTTCCTGGGCCATATCCCTCTAATATGATTCAGCAGGTGTTGTGACTTAGTTAGATTAACATTGCTATTTACAGCCCTGGGCCTGGCTGTCAGACTGTCCTATGATGAGTCACAGGTCAACAAAAATGTACAAAGGAATTGAAATACATAACTTTATTAAGTCCTGGAGGAAGTACGTGGTATATGTAGAGGTACCGTGAAAGGGGGGGTCAAGGCAGGGTGCAAGCAGAGGAAAAAGTTGGTCATGGGGTACATGCCTTTGTTAGGGTCAGAGGGTGGAATGCTTTGAAATTCCTTGGCTAAAGCTGGACTGGCCAATTAAAAAAGGAGCAGAGTTTTGGTAAGCTTCATGGCTTAACTAAGGTGTACCCAAGGGGAAGGCCCTGGGATGTGGGGGAGAATGCTTATCACAAAGGTGGCTAGGGGAGTCTATCAGGAACTTACATTGATGTTTCTGGGGACTGTTGTCCCCAGGGCATGCACTCAGAGGGGGGCTAGCATGAGTTCAAGTCCCCCTGCAATGCCATCCAAGATAAATGCCAAGGCAGCACTATCATGGAGCAGCTTAGCTAAACTAACATTAGGTCTAGGGTGAGGCCTGAGACTTGGCATTTTTAAAAAATGTTTTATGTATTTTGAGAGAGAGAGAGAGGGAGGGAGGGGGGTAGAAGGGAGAGAGAGAGAATGAATGAGTGGGGGAGAGACAGAGGAAGAGAGAATCCCAAGCAGGCTCCATGCTCAGCATGGAGTCCAACATGGGGCTCAGTCTCACAACTGTGAGATGATGAACTGAGCTGAAATCGAGTCAGACGCTTAACCAACTGAGCCACCTAGCATGTGCCGACACTTTGCATTTCTAATTAGTGATCAGATGCTGCTGCTAGTGCTTGTCCCAGGTTCACACTTTGATAACTATCCCTTGATATTTGAACCATCCCTAAATACAACGGAATTTATTGAGTCATTGAGGTATATGATGAAGAAATTTGTGAATCTACCCATCTTTTTATTTTTCATTCCTCTTTCACCTCAACTTGGGTCAGCTGTACCATTACTTTTATGCTGTCTGTATTGACAAAATCACATTATTTCTGGTTATTATAATACAGTTGATTGAAAAATTTAAAAACCAATAAACAGCATTTACTATACAAAAATTAAGTTATATGGTGATATTGGATCTGTAGAGAAGAAAACATATGCCTGTGTAGCAGGGTCAACATTATTAATATTTTGAGAATCTTTGTCACTCTTACCTTCATCTTCAAATATTGGTTCTGGCTTTGCCCATTGAATTTCATTTCTTCCTCTGCTTTCTGAGGATATTCCAGGGTTGTCAGAACCGGTTTGAGGGCTTTGTGATGTAGAAACTAGAGGAAAGAAGGTAAGAGTCCTAATATCAAAAGATTTGTTAAGGCTGGGGAGGAATTTTGGGGGAAATTTAGAGAAAGGAATAGAAACATTTTTACATGTAAGGGAACTAGATGGGAGATTTCATAGGAATTGAAGTATTATTGTCTGTGTAATCCTTTAAAGATGGAAGAAATGCAAAGATGAAGAAATTACCATGGCTTTTTTCTTTTCTTTCTAAGGTCTGTATTTCTTTCTGTATCTTTTGTTGATGAAAAGATCAAATGATTTTTATCCTTTTATTATGAAGTTCCAGACTCTAAAAAAAAATTTTTTTTCTAATGTTTGTTTATTTCTTGAGAGACAGAGAGAGACTGAGTGTGAGTGGGGGAGGGACAGAGAGAGAGGGAGTCATGGATTCTGAAGCAGGCTCCAGTCTCTGAGCTGTCAGAACAGAGCCCAGTGTGGGACTCAAACTCACAAACCATGAGATCATGACCTGAGTTGAAGTCAAACCAACTGAGCAACCCAGGCACCCCTGAAGTTCCAGACTTTTAATAACTACAGTTGATAATCTGAAATGCAGCTTCTTTCTAAAGACATTCCTCACAGAAAATTCTGAATTTCTTCTATTTTATTCTACAGAAATTTTTTTAAAAAATTGATAAAGAATTTTTTCTCCAGTATTACCATAAGTGAACACATAAAACAGGAAATTGTAAGTGTGATATATTGGTAACTATGAAATTATTTTTTTGGTCTGTTGTATACTATTTTATTAAA